AGAAAAAAAAAAGGGTAAAAAAAAATATATATAAATAAAGAGGGAACGTGTCCAAAAAAAAAAAAAGGTGCAAGGTGAAAAAGACAGCCGAACTTTTTCGCGAATTGAGTCCCCGACGTGTCGCGCCTGCCAATCTTTCCAATCATCAACGACTTTATACAAGTCTTCCTACTATTTGATACTGTGGACAACATATAGTGCTAGGTGACCTCTACTCTACAACCCCGTATTATGTATGTTATCAGTAGGTAAGGGGAACTTGTTTTTAGCTGAAGAGGTATTCTGTAGTGAAGGAAATAGGTATGATTCTGTTGAAATAATGGAAATTACTATTGATTGGTTCAGGGACATATTCAGTGCTACTGGGATTACAATGGAAGGGTATGAGGTAGTAGCGCAATATTGGCTCCAGGCACTGGATGACGATCAAAGTAAACATTGGGAAAATGGAAAATTAGCTCATGAGGACATATGTGATTACACTCATTTTACTACATTAATAGGATGATGGTACCTGGTTCTGATACTGGCATTGGCGTTAGCATTAGCATGAATATAATATTTCATTCGTTAGCACTCTTCATATACATAATGATCAGACGCACTCTCCTTCATTTTTAAAATTGTCTCTAGAAAATAAAAGTAGTGTCTTTGAATAATATATAATTGTTTTATGCATTCGCTGATTGGCTATGTAGTATGTTTTACCTGATTTAGATTGACGATAAACATCGTAGTTGCATGATGCTGATATTAGGCCAATAAAGAAACTGACCTCTTTTTTTATTGTATCCCTTTATTGTATCGCTCTCTCTATTGGAACATTCTTTTTAAAAGGCTCTCTTATTCTTCCTCAAAATGGAATTCCTTATAATTCGCTTTATCGCTCCGCCTGAAAAGGTCCAAAAACTTATTTAATTCCTCTCTCCCCTTTTCCTTCCACCTCCTCTGTCAACCTCACAACCGCATGAAACTTCTGTTTCAAAATAAATCATTTTATCTTTTTAATACTCCATCTAATCATTTCAGGCCAAAGTTTTCCTTCTCAAAAAAAAAAAAAAAAACTATGCCTTCTGAGTCGTATATTCTCATCTCATTCAACGTTGTTTAATATCAAAAGTAAGGCTCTCTTTACTGTATGTACTAGATGCACTACCCCTTCTTACTTATTTTTTAAGGGGTGAAAGGGGTCCTTCCTGGGTAGAAAATACTAATCATCCTTATGCCTGCCCGGCTTCTGCCCAGTACTCCACAAAAACCAAATCAAAAGACATCTTTATCCCGTCCAGTCCCCGCTTTACTTTAAAGTTTACTGATTTGTACATTTTTAGGACTCAAAAAAAAAGGACGCTTTTGTTCCACCTGATCATTGATTCTTATCAATAAAAATAAAACCTTTTATCATTGGCGAGAAGAAGAAGAAAAAATTATTTACCAGTCGTGAGTGAATGATCGCTCCTATGATATTATATCATCATGATTAGGATCAAAGGATGGATGTTTTCTGCCATTAAAAAGATCTGTCATCAAGAAAGGGATTGGAGGGATTGGGCAACACCCCATCCTTGACTAAGCGATTCAAACGCCGTGGAACAGTGTAGAAAATTGGACTTGGCCAATAAGCAATGTCGAAGAAAAAGGGCAGAGGGGAGATTACTGTAACACGATTTGTCTACTTCAATTCCCGCTTTTTTTTTTTTTTTGGTCTTATTTATTTGAAATTTTAGGCACCTATTTTTTTTTTCCTTCTTCTTTATTTTTCTTATACATCTCTTTCGCTCTCTCTTTATAATTCAAAATGGTTGCTCAAGTTCAAAAGCCTGCTCCTGCCTTCACTGCTCCTGCTGTTGTTGATGGTGACTTTAAGGACATCTCCTTGTCTGACTACAAGGGCAAGTACGTTGTTCTTTTCTGGTACCCCATGGATTTCACCTTTGTGTGCCCCACCGAAATCTTGGCCTTCTCTGAACGCGTCAAGGAATTCGAAGCTTTGGACTGTGCTGTTGTCGGTGCTTCTTGTGATAGCGAATTCTCTCACTTGGCCTGGATCAACACTCCTCGTAAGCAAGGTGGTCTTGGTGAAATGAACATTCCTTTGTTGGCTGATAAGACCAAGTCTATTGCTAAGGATTATGGTGTCCTTTTGGAAGATGCTGGTGTCACTCTCCGTGGTCTCTTCATCATTGACCCCAAGGGTACCGTCCGCCAAATCACTATCAACGACTTGCCTGTTGGTCGCTCTGTCGATGAAGTCCTCCGTCTCGTCGAAGCCTTCAAGTTCACTGACGAACATGGTGAAGTGTGCCCCGCCGGCTGGAACAAGGGTGATAAGACTATCAAGCCCAGTGTCAAGGACTCCAAGGAATACTTCAACGCTGCCAATTAGAAAAGGATCACGGATTAGCTTTTTATTATTATTATTATAGTTGTTAGTATTAGATTAGTTAAAAGATATACACTCCCCCTCCTCTTTATATTATTGTAAATAAATAAAAACAAACTGTTGTTACATTTTTATATTTAGTATGTGTATATTATGACATGGCGATTGTTTGACTTTGGGGAGCGGGAAAAAAGGTAACTATCATAAGGACAAGTAGTATTTATTTTATGAGTATTTGAATGATGGTTTTATTATTTTAGTATTTAGTCACGATCAACGGATGACAGATGATGACAGGTGAACATCATGATACTTGTTTGTCGCCTGATCATAGTAGTTTGATATGATGGAAGATGCAAAAATTTAATAGTTAGTCTGATATCGTTACACTTGGGATTGAATTCATATGATATTGCAACACTTACTTACCAATTGGTGGTTACAATCGCTTGAACGGTGCTTTATATCCTTTTGAATGACCGCTGACAAAGAAATTGTGCCTTTTTTTCATTTTTTTGTGTATTGTCGTCCAACGCTTTGTCGCGATGCCATATACCCTATTTAATTGCAATTATAGAGCCTTCTCTGCTTCTCTTTATAAATGCTTATAGATTTGTTGTATGATATATGTAGAATAGTATTTTATTGACTGTTCTTTAAATAAACTTCATTTTTGACCAAATTTTTTGTTGACCATATATATGATATTTTTATTAATGTGATGAATATTACTTTGGTATTAGCACAATCCAAGCATTCTGCGAAATAATTGTATGTTTTTACCATACTGTTATTACGGGCTTTCTTTTTGAAAATATACTGTTTCAATATGATAGATCCATGCATTCAACTAAGACTTACGTCGAACATAGCGGTGATTAAACAAAATAGTATGCAATGATAGAATAAAACAAAAATGATATCATAAGAAATAGACACAGTAAGAAGGCTATAATACAAAGGTATGATATAAGTAGGGTTTTTAAACGGTTTTTTTTTTTTTTTTGGCTGGCTGGCTGGCTGGCTGGCCGACTGGAAAAAGACCACCCGGTGGAAATCGCGCCCAGACTAGCTGGACCGACTCTTAGAAAGACTCTAAGAAGTGCGGTAAATCCACTAAAACCACGGGTCTTCCTGCTTGGGGAGATATTAAACGGTTTAATGGTTTGGTTTTTGCAAAACCGAACCAAACCAAACCAGATAAAAAAAAATCAACCCATAATTAAACCAAGTCAGATAAAGAAAACCAATAATATATACAAAAAAAAAAAAAAAAAACCAACCAACCAACTGTATGCGAAAAGAAAAGTAGTATAGTGTATTATAGTATTAGTTATTTATTTATGTTATATTAAATAAAAAAAAATAACAACATTTGAACTTGAACATGATACGCATCTCACTGTGCAGGTATAAAACAGGGGGGGAGGGACAGGAACAAATCAGCTGGATGGAATGCTATACAGTATACAATCTCAAAAAAGAGGTTTGACCTTATATCAACATGGATTGAAGAAATGGCTAAAAATAAAAGATATATTTTATTGAAGTATTGTATAAACCAACATAAAGATGGTCAGCGTCAATTTAAATAGGAGAGGGGACGAATGTAAAATGAAGGGATCTACTGATGAAGACAACACTATAACCATATGAGAGAGACTAATGGTTCTACTGGTAAAAATACTGGATAATACTATATTCAAATGTTGAGATAAACTAAGACAATTAACACTAAGCTAAATAATGAAGGTTTCATGACGCTTATCTCCCAAGATGCTGTCCTAATCTAACGGTATGTCCAAATCCTACATCCAAAACGAAAGGGTTCCCCATGATGTTTACAATGCATTTTTCAGAACACCCCTAATTCAAGTTCTACCAACTAATCCAAGTTTGCCATCGCTTCATCGAGACTTTAATGAAAGAAAGAAAGAAAGAAAGAAAAAAAAAAAAAAAAAAAAAAAAAAAAAAAAAAAGGGAGTAGAAAAAGAAGAATTCGTCTGACTTTTTATCAAAAATTTCTGATATAAAGCAAGCCCAACCATCCATCTTCACACAAAACCCATATCCAAGACTTCATAGTGTGTTCCTAAAAAAAAAATCTGACCCCAAAACCAAAAAGACCCGTTTTTGGTTCCTGTTTTAGAATCCCAGATATATGGCAGCTCGCTTGCTAAAAAATGAAATATGATAAAAAAACCCCCCCCCCAGAATTCCACCATCATACAGGGTGGAAATTGGTTGTAGATCAAATTCATGATCTGACAAGTCAAGAAAGAGATATTGTTTTCAGCATCCTTATATATATATCTCTTTAAAACAAACCAAGCAAACTACAAGGACTTTGCGAGTAAATAAGAGGAATAATTAAAACCAGTGTCCCAGATATTTAGAAAGATGGAAAACCTAAAAAAGGATATGGTTTTATGTTCAACTCTGTGTTTATGGGAAAACACTGCTTTTGTCGCTCTAGTTGAGCTCTTTTGCCTAACGAATTACTTTTGCTTGATCGCAATTTGGACATAAATCACCACATTAGGTAATTTTAGAAGTCGCGCGGAAAACAATTTGGGATATACAGGAGTAAAATATCGATTTTTTCGAAAACGTTATTGGGGGCGTAGTATAGTGGTAGTACACTAGCTTCGCATGCTATAGACCGGAGTTCGATTCCCCGCGCCTCCACGCCTTTGTTTTTTGCATTCTTTAGGTGTTTATTGGAAAATATTTGTGGTTAGAGAGACGTGTTGCGGCTCATTTTGATTGCTAGGTCGTAACTGGAAAATTGTTTTTGTAGGGTTTTTTTTTTATTGTTACGGCTAATTTGGGTAGGAAGCTTGTAACAGAGTAGTGTTTTTGTAGGTTTTTATATTTTTTTGTGTTGGATAGGATGTCTTGAGTTATCCTTTAGTGTAGCTTTTGCTTGTTTAGAGCTTGAATATGAATTTGTTCCTTAGGCGGAATTCGAAATATCTTGCCCCTGATTTGGACAAAAATAGAATATAGAGTAGTGAGCACCAGAACTTTTGTAGATAAAGTCCAACTGTAGGGAAAGTTTATAAAGAATAAACTTGAAAAAGTAAAATAAAATAAAAATGAAAAGTATTGACCTTTGTTGGTTCAATAAAGATAAGTGTATAACACACAGTAAAAAAATAAAATAAAAAAAGGACTTGTAGTCAGAAAATAAGGAGGTTTCTATGATCCAATAGAAACGGTAGATAATTTGGTGGTATAATAACCTTTGTACTGAGTTTTATTTAATATATTGGGAAAACTTGAAAAAAACTAAAGAAAAAATAAAAGGATAATAAAAAAAGGTGGGATATTTATACTAAAAAAATAAAAGAAAATAAAGTTGGACTGAAGCGAGGCGAAACAAGAAAAAAAGTAAAAAGTGATCTGAGATCCAAGATCTGGACCAGGGCAAGCTTCATTCATTCAAAGCCCAGTCACGGAGCTCTTGCGAGCTGAAGACGTTATTAAACCCGTCCTCGGACTCGCCATCACTGGAAGCAGTCTCGGACTGTTCCTCGACATTATAGTGCTATGACTGTTTTTAAGTTTTTGATATAGCTAGTGTTACGGCTATTTTAGTTTGATATAGGCAGTAACGGTGTTGAGTCAACCTTTTTGTTAAAGCTTCAATTATATTTTACACCAAAAATATTGTGTATAAGAGTAATCTTGTTCTTACTTGAACGGATTTGCAGTGAAGATCAAAAATTATTTTCCCCCTGGATCGGAATTTGAAATTGAATTATTTTCTTGAAAATATAGAGAGCACCAAATATGTATTTGATAATAAGTAGTGAGCACCAGAACTTTTGAAGGTAAGGTCCAACTTGAAATAAAAGAAGTTTTAAAAATTTAAACTCGAGAGAATAAAATAAAGTAAAAGTATTAACCTAAGTTGGTTCAATAAAATAAAACGAGTGTGATTAACTCTGTAAGATAATTAAAATAAAAAGAGGTTTCTAGAACAAAATAGAAATAAAAGATAGTTTGGTTGTCAAAAAAAAGCCTTTGTACTAAACTTTTATTGTTATGAGAAAACTGTTTTTTTTTTTTGTGGGAGAGAGGCAGTATTTCTACTAATTTTTATATAAAAAGCCGAGGAAGTCCCTTTTTCGTATCCACCAAAAACCCACAACCACAGAAGTATTTCCAATCCCGCACACGTGGATTTTATTTTTCTCCGCAATTTTTATTTTTTATTTTTCCGCCCTCTCTCTTTCTTTCCATTTTCTTTTCTCATTCGATTTTTTTTCTTCACCATTCAACTTCTACGGGGCTATAGTGACCTTAAATTCATATCAGGACTAGTTTAGAAGGGTTTTCAGCTCAGGGATCAAAAGATGCATGGGGAAACCCTTTCATTTTGGATTCAGGATTTGGAGTCACTATTAGATGGCTTTCTATAAAGTCATCATTAGCTTAGTTTAGCGTTAGTTTGTCCATAGTTTGTATCTACACCGGAATAAAATATGTCTCTTTTTACTTGCTTCAACGAAAAGCGACCCTTTAGTCTCACTCATGTTTAGTGCAGGAGATCCCTTTTTTACTACCATACCCCTTTTGATTAGTGTTGACTGTTGTCGTATTTCAATACCTGAGGTCCTTTTAGTCTTTTTAATAAATTGTACAGTGTATTAGTTCCTTTTACAGTTGTCCCTTTATAATAGGTCTACCCGTTCTCCAGGTCTTCCATTAGTCGTCCTCATGCTAGCCTCATTAGTACTCTTGCTTGTTGCCGACCTTTACGATTTATGCTTATATTTCAATAAATTATATTCTTCTTTTTTTTTTTTTTTTTTTTTTTTTTTTTTTTTTTTTTTTTTTTTTTATCCATTAACCTCTACTACCAGGTCCATTATATACTGGACATATCTTTTTTTTTTTGTTTGTTTTGGGGAGCGATACGATATGAAATAAATATTATGGGGTATACCATGTTGATTTCGGTGACACTTATATTGAAGGGCGAGAATTTCTCAATAACCAACATCACTTCGCTAGTTAACGTTCCTTGCATGCATGCTTGAGCTTACATATCCCCATGATGTTTTTTAATAGTTTTTAACAGCCAAACGCGATATAAAAATGAGGCAACGTTTTTCCTGATTCTTTTACAGGGACTATGCAGAAACAGGGTTAGCATTCCTTTACCACTGTTTTATATTAAACCCTGCCATTTGTGGAAAACTCATTTGTCAATTTCAAGACTCGACAGCCAGAATTTCCAAACAACAGCCGACATTGAATACTCATTACTGGTTTTTTTTTTGTTTTTTTTTTGACAGGATCGTCCATGATGGAAAGCTTTTATTTTTTTTTGTTAACTGGTCAAATATACACATATAGATAAAAAAGCAAGCGAAAGCAAATAAATGATAAAAAACCCCCCCAGTAGAAGTGCTATTATAATTATTTCTATAGTTACGATGCGCAATACAGTCCTTATTAAATGATTCTGAGTGATGTTTATTTGCGGTCATTCCCTTTAGGGGAGGATGTCCTGAACAATGCCATACTAGAGGGGTCCCGAGCTAATGACCAAGATGAATAATGGAATATCAAATAGTCAGGATAGAGTCCATTGAAAGTATGGTTTTGCCATCCAATAACTGTTAGAAGAGTTTGTGATCGCATTATCCTGCATGATTTTTTTTATGGATCGTCAGACAGCAATGTGATGTTAGTAGAGCAAGCTAGCTGCGCCCAGTGCAATCCCATGAAAAGCTTCATGAGTGCAAACTCAAAAGAGTTAATAGCACATGATAAAGAAAAAGGAATAGAAACAGGTATATAAAACAACTTTAGTAGGGTAAAGAACAAAAAAGGGAATTGCCAGTTTTTAAATACTGGATTCTGAGCTTCAAGCAAGAACACCCTGTGCGCCTAGGAATTTTCAGTAAAAACACCCTGTGCGCCTTTCAATTCTCAGTAAACCACTCAGTCCACCAAGCTATTTCCCTCATCCTAGCCAACCCTGAAAAAAACAAAAAAACAAATAAAGCTGATACCCACCCAATTCACACAAGCTTGTTAAAACATGATTGGCAACTGTCACTTTTTTTTTATATATCAAGAAAAAAACAGGTTTCAATAACAATGCTGTGCTGTACTGTACTGTACTGTACTGTACAAATACAAATACATAATTGAGAATGATTTTCTTGAAAAAAAAGGAGGGTGGGAGGGACAATAAAGGGACAAGGCAACTTAGTGTATAATGAAGGATGATGATGTCTATGAGCATATTCCCAAAAAAAAAAAGAATAATCAAGACGACGACGGCAACGAATATAACTGGCGCAATATGATAGACAAGATGCAGATATGATGATCCAAAAGAAAAAAGAGACGTTTTCCATGACCTTTTTTTTCGATCCGCGCCAAGTGGGCCCCTGATTCTTGAAAGAGAGAGATAGTGTCAGAGAAAAAACAAAAAAAAAAAACGCCAAAACAAATATATGGCTTGAAAAAAAAAAGTACAAACTTGTTATCGTTGGCTTAATTGGGAGAGGTTTTGATGTTTGTTTTTGTTTTTTCTATACTTGTGCGACGTTGCAAAAAGGGGACACAAGGCTTTTTTTTTTTTTCAAAGAAATCGGCGGCAATAGGTTGTGCAATGTAATGAAGCAAAAGGAGAAATAAGGAAGAAAAAGTAAGGGTCTCTTTTGTTCGTTCAAAAATTGATAATAATAATAAAATACTCATCATCATCATCATCATCATCATCATCATCATCATCATCATCATCATCACAAGTCCCTCTTGTGTGGGGGGTGGGGGAAAGGCATTAATGCTGGGCATTGAGGAAAAAAAAAAGCGGAGACAAATGATGGTTCTTTCCAAAAAAAAAACCAACTAAAAAACAACAACATTGAATCGGCATGCACGATAATTAGCAAAAAAAAAAAAGACGGATATTTTTTATTATATACAAGTATTAGAAAAATAAACACAAGGGGGTAATATGGAGAAGCGGGGGAAGGAGGCAGTGAGGAGAACGAAAGATAATAGGAGGGGAGTAAGGTTGATGGAAATGGCCAAGTAAAAAAGAAACAAAAAAAAAGTAGTGTATGATAATAATATTAGGGAATGGGAGGCGGGGAAGGGAGAGGGCAGGGGAAAACAATCAAATGGCAAATTCAGGTGTGACACTAAGCTTCACTGTTCGTTCAGGGTAATCCGCAATCAATTGTTCGATTTCCATTTGCTTGGGAGAAAGAGGTTCATCGCAAACAACAGTACATGAAGAGCCTGAGGTTGACAGTGCGGGCAGAGAGAAGAGTGTAAAATTTGAAGATGATTGAGAAGACAATGATGATGATGACCGCCTGCGGTTAAATAATGATGATAAGCGAAATGATTGTCGGACAGAAGATACAAATTGTGATGACGATCGTCTTTGTGATGTTGTTGAGGAAGAAGATGATGTTGAGGAACAAGAGGAAGAAGAAGATCGTCTTTCATATTCATTTTGATTGAAGTAATAAGACAATATTTCATCGTCATTATACATCATATTAGATTTATTATTGTTGTTGTGGGGAGTATTGATATAGTGATTCATGTTGTTTTATGAAAGTTAAGAAAGAAAGAAAGAGATGGTGGGACCCTGGTGGGCTTGGGTTTTTATACAGAAAAAAGCCCAATTCATTTTTAAAACGCCGATT